TGTTATTTTTATTTTATGTGTATGAGTGTCATGCAGTGCTCACAGAGGTCAGAAGAGGACGCTGAATCCTCTGGAACTGGAGTTATGGATGGCTGCTAGCCACCATGTGGGTGCTAAGAATCAAGCCCAGTTCTTCTACAAAAGCATCCAGTGCTCTTAACCACAGAGCCATCTCTCCAGCCCCTTATATGACAATTTGTGTAAAAAAATAAAAGTTATAAATTATTTAAAAAGTTCTACTTAAGCACTTGCTAAACAAAATTCCACCTATGTTTGTTTTACTATATAATATACCTTTGTAACATCTTATAAATCAGAGCCCACAAAGGCACAGCTTTAGAAAAGACATCTGTGGTCAAATATACATTGAAAAAAAAATCAAGATTGATTTTTAAAATTAAATTCAAACTTGCACTAGTGTATGATCTTAAATCAAAAGCCACATTCCAAAGAAAATGATGTGATGTGCAGTATAGCGGCATCTGGAGGCCAGGGAACACAGGTTTCTATTAAAAGCATTCTTGTCACAACTCAGGAGCTGATGGGTTCCTGCACCTCTTTCAGCCTCCTGTCCTGTGAGACAAGAACAGTGGAACTAGCTCCAAGGTTGACACCGTCTGAATCAGGTACTGCAGACAGTGCCAGGGCTGGTGCATCTGGCCACTACTACTACCTACTCCTGGAATGGCAGCCAGATTCCTACTGCACATTCACTCTCTGTCATGGTGAGCAAAATGTTCTAATTAAACTGTTCCATCTGCAAGCTTCCAGAAGACAGATTTGACTGACCTAGTTTCAATCAACCGTAGACATTTGAACCACAGAAACAACAGACTAAACAGGGTGAGGAGGTGAGGTATGAGGCACAGACTCAGAAGCTTGGTCACTTAGTCCCCTCCTGCTCATGACAAGAAAGAGCTAGCAGATTTATAGACTGAGAAGAGATATAAAAGTAGCACTCCTACAACGACCACTCTTTCAGACTTCCTTCCTATACAACTGTCACTCCACAATTGCTAAGTATCTATTTACATGCAAAACAGTTCTGTTTTAAGAGCTACACTAGAACCAGCTGGCTTCCTTCTTTATGTCTAAGGAGGGCTAGCGTCTGTTAACATAGACCTCTTTCCCTAGACTCTCACAGTGGCCTCTGCAGTACACCCTGCTGCTTCAAACTAAAGTTTCAAATAACCACTTTCTTCTCCTAAAATAATTTCTCTATTATCTGTTCAAGTATAGTTTTGTATTAGGAAACAAGAAATTAAATCCTTTAGGAAGGATTTCTGAAAATCAGGGGATACTACTCAAGGTGAGGATACCTAGTTAGAAATTATCAAATGCTCCAAACACTCATGAACAGAAAAATACTACAATCGACCCCACGTTGACAGGTGGCAGTCAGCAAGCAGGTGTACAACACAAGGCTACTGACAATTAACCTTCAAGGTCTAAGTGTAGGGAATATATAAAACATACATAAATTCCATATTTAGACTTGAGTCCTAGCCTCAAGACTTCTTTCTATATATGTTACTATAATATGTGAATATTTCATATTTTTTCAATCCATCATTAGCAGCACATTAGGCTCCAAGTACCTCAGATAAGTGATGATCTGTGTAATACTGTGATTCATTATCATGTGTGAAGTTAGTCTGCATTTCTCAGCAACACAGCTCCCATTTAGTCTCTTTACATACTAATGAGGTAACTGATGACTAAAGGTTCTGGGATAGCCCCAACATGGCAGCTAGTTGCCAGGAGGCCCAATATCCCTTTAATTAAGGTTAGGACTTTCAGCCCTCATCTCTAGAATAGGAGAGGAAAGAGGATGGTGGAGCTTATCACAAATGGCCAATGATGTCCCACAATGAACCTTCATAAATACCCGAAAGAACAGGGCTTGGACAGTTTCTATGCATCCCCCAAGCAGAGGACCCTGGAAGGTAACACTGAAAGAAGCAAGCACGGAAGCTCCACCTCCTCCGAGCCTCCTCTAAGTGTCTCTTGCCTGGGGCTGCCTCTGTCCCTTAAACAGCCTTTACAATACACAAAACACTATTGAGCAAGTGACTCCTGCAAATTAAACTTGGGAGGGGATGGTAAAAGGAGTTGGAATTGGTTGGTCAGTATAGGTCACAAATGAGGATTGGCTTTTGAAGAACTCAGTCCCATAACTTTTATTATTGCCAAATAGATAGATAGTGCCCAAATTGAACCAAATTATATGACACCTAGTTAGTGCTCCCTGGAGAGCTCTTGATTATTGTGTGTGAGGAGAAATCCCTACGTATCTATGTCTGAAGTACTTGGTGGTGGGACAGTAAGAAAATCATTTTGGTTTTCTTCCCATTCTTCAGAAGCATATTAACTTGCTTTAAAGTAGTACCTTAGAATGACATAGTATTACCCACTTTCCAAAAATAATTAAAAGCACACAGAGCTTGCAATCTTCTCATTTGCTATACTGGAGGGTGGAGGAGGCCAAAAAGAGGTATGTTCACATTTTTTATTTATTACCTGAACTAAAGGGTGAATATTTCAGGTACTTTTTCTAGTACCTAGGTATTAGAATTTTAGGTATTCACTAACAGCAAGGAAATCCCATCAACAGTTTGTGCTGCATTTAGTGGAGGATTCAAATCAGCAAACATCATTTCTATAACCTCTCTTAAAAGTTAATGAGGCAATAACTAAACTTTCTTTTCTAGCTTTCTTAGTCTTTTAGCATGTATAAATAACACGAAAAGCAAAAAGTCAGATAGCTCTGCCTTCGTAACCCCTACAACACACCTATCAGCTTTACTACATTAATACTTCCTATTTACAGCAGTATTTTATCTGCTTGTTACATTCTTTACCAAACAGCCACGGACCAAATGAAAACCCTTCCATTTTGGCCTTATTCTCAACACTGTTAAAAGTACATCAGGAGCAGGGGAGACAGCACAGCGGGCAAGAAAAGCCTGTGCTCCCCTGGCACGAGGAACAGATCAGGACCTCTAAAGTCCATCTTAAAGTCAGGTGGGTGTGGACCCACCTGTAACCCCAGTGCAGAGCAAGTAAAGACAGATGAGCCCTGGAGCAAGGCAGCCAGAAGAGCTGAATCCAGAGCTCTCAGACAGCCTCAGAGCCATGAGGTAGACAGCAAGCAAAGAAATCCCTAGGTGTTAGCTTCTGGCCTTCAGAGACATGTGCTCAACACATACATACAGAAAAGAGCACATCAGGGCTACTAGAGGATAAGCCAAGATGACAGTGCTAAAAATTATCATATGTTGTAAAATTAAGATTATGGAAACATTTTGGTGACAAAAATTTATACATACATTCCTCACAAAATTCACACAGGAAAATAACGGTCATATGGAAGCCATTCAAGTAAGTACCACGTGTCCAAAGCATGGTCATCTACAGCATTTCAACACAACTGAAAATGTATTCTGCAATTGAATTTATTATCTGGTGTGTTATTTTATTACTGTTCTCTATAGATGTGCAGTATGTACACATGCATATTCTGTATAATATTTACACCATACATATGTAACATGTATAATGTACAAGATTTCACCTCAGTAGACAACAGAACAAAATAAAACATGTCAAGTGTTTTTACTGGTGGTTAAGAATGTACGAATTCCAATCACTGGAGAGATTGGAATGCAATGGTATGGGATATTCAAAAGTCACCAAACAGGAAAATATTACCATTTACAAAGTAAAAAATATTGTAGCATTTCCTCAAATTACATGAATCTAAAAATATTTCATCTAGCCTGTAGTTCAAGACAAAATATATTGAGAATTGCCACGATCATCACTTAAGCATTTACTAGTGTCAATCCCTGTCCTAAAGGCCTTACAGCTCATTCTGCCCTCGTGACCACCATGAAGCAGAACCAGGACTCGGGCTGAAGCAATGTGGTTAGAGCTCACTCTCAGCCATCTTGTTCTGCCAAAGGCCTCAGAAGGTGCTCTTTGCTCACAGTATTAAAAGTACAATTCCCAAGTTAATTCTTGTCTGGCGTCTAGCTGAACAGGTCCATGACACCCAGGTTAGGGAAGGGAAATAATATTTCAACACTATTTCTTACCTAATTGATGTACACCAATATTTTGGTTCAGTCGTCAAGACTTCATTCACTGTCCCTAGGCAACTACAGTGGTACTCCTTAAAGCCAATGTCATCCTAAGTCTACATAAACTTCACACTACGTAAGTAACACTTATTTCAAAAGATTAAAACACAGATAATTCTGAATTTTTATTTAAAACTCTAAAAACAACTTTAATACAACATCTAAAATTGCTCTAGGAAAAGAATCACATAGCTCCCATGAAAGTACACATAAATTCAACTAAAGGAACTGATAGTGGACTTTTCCTCAAACTTCTTGTCTGTGAGGAGCACAAGTAATTGAGATGGGAAGGCTCAAGTTAAGGAGAACAGAGCTCAAAGAACAAGCACAGCAGGACCAGGTCAGGACACCTTGTTGAGTGTGGTGTTCTTTCTAAAAGTGCCACAAAGCACTCTTTTAAGTCAGTGTACTTTAAAAGAAAAAAAAAAGAGAAAAAGAAAACCAGTTGTCCCTAATAACCACTTTAATCATTAGTATTCCAATTCAAAGTATTAAAATCAGCCATTTTTATCCAAATAGAGATCTTAAAATATTGTGGCTTATAATATGCTGGGTAAAAGGAATCTGGACAAATAAAATCTTCCTAAGGACAATATTTAAAGCAGATAGTTCGGATTTATTCATTAAGCTAACAAAACAATTCAAGCACGCTCACACACAACTATTAATAACTAACTAAAATATAAAATTTAAAATTAAAACGTAGGGCTGGAATTAAGAGCACCCGTCCCTCTTCCAGAGGTCCTGAGTTTGGTCCCCAGCACCCACATGGTGGCTAACAACCATCCATCCATCACTTCAATTCCAGGGGATCCGACACCTTCTTCTGGCCTTCATGGGCACTGCACAAGCAGGCAAAACACTCATAAATTCTTAAGAATTAAAAAGTAACAGAATGGTGGCAAGGGAAAAATGGAAAACAGAATCAACAGGGGCCTCACTCACCACCTGCTGCCACTGTGTGGTAGGGTGAAACCCAGGCCCCAACAATCAATAATTTTAAATACAAATGTCTAGAAAATGGCTTTTAATCAAGAAAAAAATAATTGCTCAAACGTCTTACTGTCCCAATGTCCTGACAGACACCCAATCATTCATCTGACCATCTCATGTCCACTCCATCTAAAGCAGTGTTTGGGTGTTACTCTGAGAGTGGTGTCCGGTAACCCTGACTAGGAGGAAAGACAAGGAAAAGACACCCCAAAGTGGAGGCCAGCCTGGGCAACCTGTCAAAATCTTAAAGAGGGTTACAGAGTTGCTGGGATGTGAGATCTCATCTCAAAAATTAAAAACCAAAGATCTGGTGATGTTAGAGAACTTTCGTAGCACATCTTAAGGCCCTGGACTCCATCACTAGCCCCACAAAACAAAACATCATTTTAGATTTTTCAAGTTTTTAGTTGCATATTTTTTTCTTTATTTTTTGGTTTTAGTTGCTTATTTCTCCATGTAGCAGAGTAGTCAAACTGTCAAAAGGAAGTTACCTAAGTGTAAACATCAAAACAAGGTCTCATGCTGGAGTGACTGATACTTGAATTCTTCAATTAAAAAAATGAGAATAAATATCACAATAGTGTCTTTAACATTTTTCAAAGCTCTGATATTCCGTGTCATGCTTAAATGCCTACGAGATCTGAACCCGTATTACTAGGGTGAAAAAATACGAGGTATCCACATGAAGGACTTACCTTCTTTTTATCCCTCATTGAGCCTTTGCCTCGGACCATTATTTTACATCCTGTTTCTGCTTCAAGTTGTTTAGCTGTAAGTCCTCTAGGTCCAAGAATTCTCCCAACAAAATTAAACTGGGGGTGAAAAGATAATATAAATTATTCACTTGCTGAAATGTATAATTCTTCAACTTATTTTCAAGTAAATGTATTTGCTTACTCTAGCTCCCCAGCCTCTAAACACATTATAACACAAAGTAGAAAACATAGAACACATTAATTTCTCTCCAAATGGAATGTTTAACCTGAAATTTCATACATATTAATGCAAACTGTAAATTCATAAGAACAATATGTAGGGGGTCAGAATACGATCAAAATACACTGTAAAATTCTTGACCCAAATATTTTTCAAAAAGAACAGTATCTAGCTAAACAGCAGGTGCTTTAATGAGCTGTCCACCAACACATAACCTAAGCCAGAGTATACCAAAGAGCTAACAAACACTGGATGCCACCCAAGAATGCAAATATTTTTGACAAAACAAAAACTTCCCTTTTTACAGAACACTTAGGAATGAGTTCTGCTTTACTTTTTCTAGAGAAAAAGTAGTTCTCTCCAAAGAGAACTGTATAAACAGCAACTCTGAGCTGAGGCCAGAATATTAACGGTTAAACTAGGACTTCAGATGCCCAAGTCCATGAGTATGCTCTTAGCAAATCACATTTCTGAAACACTCTTACTGTTTGCCTTTCTTTCCCATTACTATTACTACTTCTGTGAGTTCAGGCAAGCAGTCTAAACTCTGTATGAATAAGACAATGACCTAAGACCCTCAACAGTAATGTCTATGAGTCAAATACACAGTGTTTAAAGTCAATGGGAAGAGACGCAACCTTGGGTATTGAAATGTGTATCTTCCTCACTTGAATAAAAACAAAGTGCTTACCATCCGTTCTATCAAGTCCATGGGAACTTTCATGAATTTACTGAACCAATGGCACAGTGGTTCTTATGCATGTACCTTCAACCTTGTTCTTACATTTATCCTACTGCTGGTGTACCATTAGATGAAAGCAACAGGCTACACCCAGGTAAGGAAGCACACATCTATGAATGCAATTACTAGGGAGACTGAGGCAAGTGGATTGCAAGGTGGAGGGCAGCCTAGGTGTCTTAGGAAAACCCTGTCTCGAAACAAAAACTAAAGGGCTGGGGTATAGCTCAAGGACAGAGCACCATGGGATAGAGGGTGGGACAAAGAAAATAAAACATTCACTGCTATCAGGGCTGAAGAAGCAGAGTTCTCTTGGCATTCTCCAATGCTCTCCTCTCCAAGGGCCCATACCGTCTTACTGTTTCATACTGCCGTATCATTAGAAAACGGATTCTCAACTCACCTGGAAGGTGAACAGACACATATCCTTCAACAAAAGCCACCCCTCTAGGGAATTTGGATACATCTCTAACCCTAAGTTGACACTCATAGTCTTTGATTTACAAACACTGTTGTAGCTCTATACTGACCACTGTGCTTATAGTACAATACACAAACAGGTTCAGTATGAGGCCCGACACACAGGACATAATCAATGATTCCACTGCATAGTTTCTTTAAGAAACCTCAGCCCTTCCCAGGTATGGTGGTGAACACCTTAAATCCCAGCACTCTGGAGCAAGAGGCAGAAGAGCCTGTCAGCGTAAGGTCAGCCTGGCCTACACAGTGAGCCTCCGGGTCATCTAAAACTACATATACAGTGAGACCTGTGGGGGAGAGGAATAGCAAAATGATGAGGGGGAAACAATCAAGAACAGCTTTTATCTACTTTAATACCAAGAAAGAGAAAAGCAGAAACAACCCACGAAAAATGACCGTGTGCCTACAGAACAGCACTCCCCAAACATCTGGCTTGAAGATTAAAGAGCTGTCTTCTTTAGGAAAATTAAACTGGGTGTGTTAACACATTTGTAATACCAGCATTCAGGAGTGGAGCCAGGAACACTGTGGTCTTTAAGTCAGTTTCAGCTACATATCAAGTTCTAAGCCAGCTAAGAACTTGAGTTCTGAGTCTCTGTCCTAAAACGAAGAAATAAACTGATAGGCTCTGAAGAGGGGCAGGAAGAGTCCTGGCATGAAATAGAATGTAAGACATAGAAGCAAGCCAGGGACTATGTTAAAGGGAAAAGGCTCTGTATATAGTATATATACTTATAGCCGTCTATGAATGTGCACGCATACACACACACACACACACACACACACACACTTCTCAAATAGAAGAGTATAAGAATCTGTTTTGATCTATTTTCTCACTTTCCCTCTAATACTTATGGTCAGTTTGGTAATGTCTCAGGCAGCAGTCCTTTCTAAGCACTGGCCACTGGCACAGACTTTTCTTGAAAATCACTCTTAGCGTACTCCGCTATTCAATGGGAAAAAAACAACTAGTTTGCTGTAAGCAAAATGTGATTGTTGTGTGGGTACCAGCTTGATGCACCTTTTATTTACCACATCTGACTGACTGACTTGTATCATTTAGGTCAATACACAAGTACAAAATTGTCAAACAACACACCTCTAGGAATAGACCCCACAAAGCAGTGCACAAGTACACTTACGTCTATTTGGGGGCATAAGCCTATTTTTGCTGTAATATCACACTGTATTAATTGGTGTAACTGTAGTAAAGCTTGATGGGTAACAGAACAAGTTAATTCACCTGCCTCTTCCAGACTACCTTAGCTTTTCTTTACCCTTTTCTATCCTGTGTATCTTTTACTAATTTCTTAAGTGCTTGTTAAAATTTTCACTGGGTTCATAGACTGACTCTTCAAAATCAGGAGGTATAGTTTCTCCATATAGTTAGGTCTCCTTTCCCATCTCTCAAGAACGTAAAAACTTTTTTCATTGTACCTTTATTCTTTTTTAATATTTAACTTACAGAGTTTTCCTATAAAATTTGTACATTTTTAGAATTTAAGTTTGTTTCTAGTACGCAAACACATAACTGGTTTTCTATAACAATCTAGTACCAAACAACCCTGTTTCTTCATTATTGATTCTCACCATTTTTCTATGGGTTTGTCTTCGGGGCGGGGGGGGGGG